TTATTGTTGTGTGTGTGTGTGTGTGTGTGTATATATATATATATATATATATATATATATACATATATTCCATTCACGTATCCCATAAATCTACATTCCAGGTTCAACTAAGTCCCCCTTCGCGTAGCACGCACAAACCCCACCGCTACCACCCAATTATCAGGCCTATCCTCCAAGCAGTCCCTCACATCCCACACTCCCCCAGGAACTCGCTCGCAGAAAGGTATGCGTACACGAACACACACCAACGAGAGCACCGGCAGCAGAGACAGCAGCAGCAGCAGTCGCCTTGGAAATCTAAGAACAGCTTCAACTGAGTTTATCAAGACCCAGGGGGGTAGAGGATCTGGCCCGTCATCTCCGATCTCGTCTGTTTACAAGCGATCGGTAAGTGGTTTTTTCGGGGGGGGGGGGGACTTGGTTATTCGGCAAGGATGAGTAGTGACCTTGTATAGAAGCACGGGAATGGGCGCATAGAGAAGACCGCCTTCTACGAGTTTATAAAAGTAGAAATACTGAGTGCGAATCCGTACAATATTCTGTGGGTGTGATAGTATGAAAAGATCTGCTAAGTATTATGAGAATGTGATAGTATGAGAAGATCTGTTGAATATTATAAGAGTGCGATAGTATGAGAATATCTGCTAAATGTGATAGTATGAGAAGATCTGTTAAATACTATAAGAGTGTGATAGTATGAGAAGATCTGTTAAATATTCTGAGTGTGATAGTATGAGAAGATCTGCTAAATATTGTGAGAGTGTGATAGTATGAGAAGATCTGTTGAATAATATAAGAGTGTGATAGTATGAGAAGATCTGCTAAATGTGATAGTATGAGAAGAACTGCTAAATATTATAAGTGTGATAATATGAGAAGATCTGCAAATATTATAAGAGTGTGATAGTATGAGAAGATCTGCTAAATATTATAAGAGTGTGATAGTATGAGAAGATCTGCTAAATATTATAAGAGTGTGATAGAATGAGAAGATCTGCTAAATATTATAAGAGTGTGTGATAGTATGAGAAGATCTGCTAAATATTATAAGTGTGTGATAGTATGAGAAGATCTGCTAATTTTATAAGAGTGTGATAGTATGAGAAGGTCCGTTAAATATTATAAGAGTGTGATAGTATGAGAAGATCTACTAATATTATAAGAGTGTGATAGTATTGAGAAGATCTGCTAATATTATAAGAGTGTGATAGTATGAGAAGGTCTGCTAAATATTATGAGAGTGTGATAGTATGAGATAGTCTGCTAAATACTATGAGTGTGATAGTATAAGAAGATTCGCTGAGTTTATTAAGGCCTTTGGAAGCCGAGAACGAAGGCGGATATTGCCAGCCGATGACGTAGGCTAATTTTACCCTTTGAGCGATTTTATGTGACTGTACACCGTAACTATAATGGTATATCAGTATGCAGTACATTTATATCGTTGAGGAGTCATTGTACGTATAACACACACATGTTCATATATACACACATATATGCCTACACGCATACTACACACGTGTACATATACATATATTACACGCGTGTATACATATATATATATACACTTATAGTACTCATCGGGTCCTTGCCCACGCCTTTCGATAGCCGTCTAGTAGCCAAGGCAATCGAATGGATGGACTGACGCTGCGCAGCGAAGACATTCTACTGAGTGCCCAGCGCTCGCAGAAGCTGAATGGTGTCAACACAAACTTCCAAAGGATCAGAAAGTATGTCGTTTATTCTTCTGACTGCTAAATACACGCATTGTTGTGTCTATGTCGATGGCGTGTCAACGTTCGACTTCGATAGGTTTTAGGGTTTTAGTAGATTAGACAGCATGTGTGTGGTTGTCAGTGAAAGGGCTAACTCGAGTATCTGTTAGTATCTGTTTGTGTGTATTCAGCTCACTGACACAAATTTGTGATACGATCAGAGGCCATGTAGATTATATATATATAAATATATATATATATATAT